CATGAACTCCAGCTCCACTTCCAGTAACTGGCTCCTATTTTTACCTGACACTTCCTGTTCCAACATTCAACACAATGTGACAACTTGACATTCTCTATTGTTTTGTAAAGTTAACTATGGAACTAATGGAGATTTAGCAACTCTACCACACAGTCCAAGTTATGTTAAACTTGGACTGTGTAATGTTTGTAATATCCTGCCTTGTTGAGAAATGATTCAGCCAAGTACTTAACATGCAAAGTAAGAAACTGGTGAAATCCATCAATCTGAGGCGTGAACAGTGGAGCTATGCTGAGCTGCTCTTGAACCAGTGCGGTTGTGTCTCCACTGGACCATAAAACACATTGTTTATCTTCCGCATCTTGATAATATGGGGCAGCACCACCCACTGAGGATTGACACAACTCTTGGTGTCAGTGTGGTATTACTACCTTTACAACATGGAGTCCATGGTGCCCTATTTTAACCCCTCACAAAAAGACTGAGTGAGAGATTCAAGTTTCAAATCTTGCTGTAAATGAATGTTTTATATATATATACACAGAAGTTAATGTTGAAGATGTAAAGATGTTCCCTCAGTACAACATTTCATCCATTCATGTGTCTTGATAAGCCAGCTCTGTTGAAGGTGGTGCTCAACTCCAGGGCTAGCTGAGACTGAGTCATCATGATTACCCCCCTATGCTAGGAACAGACGGAAATGGAGGCCAACCCATGTCCGGCTGGCTTGGCATGATTAAATTAGGGTGACCTGTGCTGATGGGAAAAACATCATAAGGTTCCCAAAAGATGTTTTAGTACTCATTAGTACAAATTATATTCTAAGAGTGAAAATATGAAAGGCTATGTTCCTACATTTCACATGGTTTGATTTGATTTATTCTTTCAAGCATGTAAAGACAGTTGATATGACAACACATAATTTTACACATAATCCAATATCAATTTGCTTATACCTAGTACATGCTTGAATGGAGTAGGAAGAAGTCAGACTTATCCAGTCCTACCCCATGACATCATCTTACCATCATTGTTTTGCAAGCAGTAAATGATTCACTTCTACCCACACACACATTATACTAAAAAAAGATTATAACAGTGTTAATATTCTTACATCACACAAGTAATATACTAAAGAATTATTACAAAGTGTTAACAGTCATACACCCCACCCACAATGTTCCATCTGGTTAATCATTGAGCCTGTTCTTGCATATATCTTGATTGACACATACCTTTATATTTATGTTTAAACTCATCAATTCTATTACTATTTTTTATGTCCACACTTAGATTATTCCATAGTTTTACCCCACTTATGGAAATACAAAATCTTTTTTTGGTTGTACGTATAGAATGAATTTTCAAATTTAACTGACCCCTTAAATTGTATCCCCCTTCCCTTTCATTAAATAGTTTTTGAATTCCACCAGGTAATAAATTGTTCCTGGCTTTATATGGTGTGAAGATAAGAACCAAAAAAACTTGTACACACCCAAAGTGAGCCTTCCTAATGACCCATTTCAGAATCAAATTGCATGGTGCCCCCACACTAGTGAGTATTACAGAATCTCTGCAAAACTTCCCTCCTTCAGACCACAAAGATGTTCATTTCCTGTTATCCTTTTTCACCCTTCCACACTTTCAGTCTATCAGCTCCACATTTGTGACAGGCTTTTCTTTTAAATATTCAACAAAAGATAGACTCCGTTTTTAATGTATCATGGAAACCTTTTGTAAATCTAACAAGATGGCAATATTTTGTCCTCTGAGGGTTTTATTTTATACAATTTCCCAATCATCAGTCACCCTCTGTGCCAAATGTGGTGGTTTAATTTCATCACCAGAACTAAGCAGATAAAACTTCAAATCCGAGTCTCATCTGGGAGCACTGTACATCTGCTCTGGGCCAGTTCCTTTGAAAGGTTTTTTTCTGTTAGAAAAACAAGGTCACTATCCACATTAGGCAAATACCAACCTTATGATTTACATCCACTGCCAACATTCAGTACCAATGCAGGAAGTGTGTGCATTATATTGCAACAGCAAAAGAGTGCAGAAGATGTCATGTCACAGGCCAGATAATATTTTTGTTTTTATTATCTTTGCAATATGCAGATGTGTAGAAATATTTTTCTTTTTTACATTGGCAGTGAACAAAGGCCAGGGTTTCATGGAATTGTCCATTCTCAGCAATCTGGTCAATTGGTCAAATGTCAAGCATGTCTTTAAAGACATAAAGGCCCAGATGACCTGTCATTTCTTACTCTCCTAAACTCTGACAAAATTGCAGTTAGAGTACTTGGGCCTGAAAATCTTAGAAATATGCTATCTAACAATATAGTTACATTAGATGACATAGCCCCATCCTCCAGTACTGCTGTGAGGAACCTTGGACTCATTTTTGACCAGGATATATTCTTTAAAGAGCCCATTACATGCTCATAAATAAATCACACATAAACCAAGTCTCTAGATCTGCCTTCTTTCACTTGTGCAATATCACCAAAATCAGGAGCATCCTGTCTCAAAGTGATGCTGAAAAACTGGTCCATGCATTTGTTACTTCCAGGCTGGACTACTGTAACTCTTTACTATCAGGATGTCCCAATAATTCCCTAAAAAGCCTCCAGTTAATCCAAAATGCTGCAGCCAGAGTACTGACAGGAACTAGCAAGAGAGATCATATCTCTCCCATATTAGCTTCTCTCCACTGCCTCCCTGTAAAATTCAGAATAGAATTCAAAATCCTTCTCCTAACATACAAAGCCCTTAATAACAAGGCTCCATTGTATCATAAAGACCTCGTAGAGCCTTATCATCCTAACAGAGCACTTCACTCTCAGAGTGCAGGTTTACTTGTGGTTCCTAGAGTCCACAGAAGCAGAATGGGAGGCAGAGCCTTTAGCTATCAAGCATCTCTCCTATGGAACCAACTCCCAGTCTCAGTTCAGGAGGCGGACACCCTCTCTACCTTTAAGATTAGACTTAAGACGTTCCTGTTTGAGCCTTCCCTTAGTTATGCTGCTATAGGCCTAGGCTGCTGGGGGGCCCCATGATGCCCTGAGTTTCTCTCCTTTCCTCTCTTCCCCTCTCCTCTCTCTCTCCAAGCATCTACACCAGGCATCAGTCATAACATTATGACCACCTGCCTAATACTGTCTGCATAGGAGTCAACGTGACAGTTGGTTGGCACTCGTGTCACTCTGCAGCTCACTGTGCATCTTCTGTGAATCCATTTGCTTCCACAGTTCTACTGTCAGGAAGAGCACAGATGTGTCTACAATTCAGTGAAAAACATATGTAAAAGGAGTGAAAACTGTGGTTGTGAGGACAAGTTAGAGAAAATTTTTTTGGCAAATTCTAGGTGTGATATCACCACCACAGCCCCTGACTATTTCTCTTCATAGAGACCAATGTGCAGTATTTCTCATTTTCAACCATTTTAACAACTATTAAAATCAATTTTAATCTTTTGAAAAGTACAAATGGAAGTTAAAAGTTTCACCTACAGTAGGTCAACCTCGTCAGTGAGCCGTGGGCGTCCATGACCCTGTCACCAGTTCACCATTTGTCCTTCCTTAGACACTGTTGGTAGGTACTAACCACTGCAGACCAAGAACACCTCCAGGACCTGCAGTGTGGGAGATGCTCTGACCCAGTCATCTCACCATCACAGTTTGGCCCTTCTCAAAGTCACTCAGATCCTTATGCTGCCCATTTTTCTCGCTTTCAACACATCAACTTCAAGGACTGAATGTTCACTTGCTGCCTAATATACCCCACACACTGACAGGTGCCACTGTAACAGATAGTCAGTGTTATTC